CCCCCCCCCCCCCCCCAGGGATGGAGGTGCAGGGATCCCAGGGGAGCGGCCGCCCGAGGCCCTTGGTCCTTCTGGGGACCTGGCGGGGACGCCCGCACGCGCAGGACCCGGGGGCGAGGAGGTCACGCCTTCCACCCACCCGTGTCCTCTGACAGGGAGCAGACGCCGCCGGGGTGCTCCTCTGCCATCTGCTGGCGGGGCCGGCGGGGGGCAGGGCCCCGCGCCTTTGGAGAGCGTCCTTTGGGCGGCTCCGGGTGTCACGTGGGTCCTGACCCTGGTCTCCGGCTATACCTCAGGCACCTCCACCTGGACCCTCAGCATGGTGCCCTGGCCCGGGCTCGTCAACTGCCCCGTGCAGGCAAGGCCAGCACGTGGCTCCCGCGGGGCGAGGTGGCAGCAGTGCCTGGTGCTTTGCCACCACTGTCCCCTCGCCCTAGTGCTTCTTTCTTACATCTTTTTACTGCCAAGCTGTTAGACTTTATAAATGTCTATCAGGTCGTTCACTGCCTATTTTTCATACATCTGGTGCTGCCTTTTTGTAAAACTAGTCGGGACTTGGTTGAGCTTGAAAGAAAAAAATCTCTGGGGCGACACCAAAGGGGCAGAACTTTTACAGGCACCATGTGAACCTGGGGAGCCAGGTCTTCACAGCCTTGGTGCTCGTGGGGCCAGAGGGGCCTGGGCATTGGAGGGAGTTAGGAAAAGCCCGTGTCTTTCCACCCTTGCAGAGCCCCTGCCACATCTGGAGATATTCTGACAAGAGGTGGCAGTAAAGGAACAGGAGGGTGGACCCCAGGTCAGGAGGCAGAACTTCCCTTCTGCGCTGTAGACGGGACACCACAGCTGGCACTTCCACTGTCCAAACGTGCGGTTTTTACCACCGTTCAGATCGACTGCCTTGTGACGGTTTCTCCTTTTTTTCTTTAAATAAATAACTGCTCTGCTCTCAGTGCACACCTTGGTCTCAAGACCAGAGCCACGAGGATAACGAGGGCTTTGAGGCGTCATGCAGACTTGCAGGTCCAGGGAGCTGGGCGGGGAGGGGCAGCTCTGATCCTGGGACCTTCCCCGTCGGGGGTCCACGCAGGACACCCACGAGTCCACCTTCCCCCAAGCCCCGACGGGAGGAGCCCGTGAGAGAGACACCTTAGGAATACGTTCCTGTCAGTTCCTAAACCCTCTCTCTCTTTGCAAAGCCACTCAGGGTTAAATCAGGCTGAACACACTAGCCTTTGGGATGTCTCTGCAACAAAATCCAGAAGCCCACTCCCCGGCCTGCCGTGAGGCCGTGGCAGGAACGCTGTTTTCAGAGTTCCTGTGTTGGGGTGTGACCTGGCTACTTGTTGCTGCCAGGTGGCTCCACGCTGGCGGGTTGCTCCTAGAGAAGAGCGCTCTTCCTTTCTCCAGGACACGACAGATTGACAGAGTTGAGAAATTTGTTCTGAATCAAAGGAAAAAACCCCGGTTTAAACGCAGGGAGTCCTGTGCACCGAGTTTATGACAGCCAGAAGGTGCGCGTTTGTCACTGGTTGCCAGATTAGTTGCTTTCTGTGCACAGAAATCCTGTGCGTGTCTACAGTTATGTCATCACCAAAAACATGCGTGGATCATCACCAAAAACACGCGTGGATTAACATGCTGAGTGAGACACGTGTTCTCCAGTGAAACCAGAGCCGACTGCGTCCACAGATGACAGGAAAGTCTTCTTTCTAAACGTAGGCAGTTACCAAGCAACACCACAGACCTCTCCCGGCACCGCCCACGTGATGCTGAGAGGCTGGCGCCTGGTGGAGGGGGCACGCCCCCCTGCAGGTGTCTTAGCAAAGTTGTCGCCAGCCTCTCCTGTGCAGAGTCAGGGCTGGGCGCTGGGGCCTCCCCGGGGCCACCAGCGTCAGGGCCTCCTCGCCGGCCAGGCTGCAGGGAGCATGGACACGCACGACCACCCCCGTGCTTTGGGCTGTTTTCAAACCCTTGGTCAGAAGATCAGCCCTCGTGACCGGTGAACCACAGACAGAGCAGGATAAGAAGCAGACCCTTGTGCCAGGCCGTCCTGCCGGAAGGATGCCCTCGTCCCGGGCACTAAGGTGAACCAACCCTTTGCCTCAGATTCCCCAGGTCCAGCCCTCACGCACCGTGCTCGTGATGTGGCCTTTGGGGCCAAGGCGACATGCTCTGACATCAGGACACGGAGGTGACAGGGACATCGGGCCATCAAAGGGCCACGGGAACAGAGTCAGGAGATGGCAGCCTCACAGTGAATGCCGGGCTCTGGTGGGAAATTGTTGGCACTTTGCACAGTCACACACATGCACCCCTTGCTTCTGTTAGACACAGACGTCAGTGTGTGATTCTGGAGGGACGGACTGATGACAAACCATGATGCCTGTGTTTCCGAGTCTTTAAATAAAACTGAACGTGGAGAGGCCTGGTGTCTGGATGGGGGAGCAGTCAGGTGGGGCCGGGCTGGGCAGGAGCAGAGTCGGCAGGCGTCCCCCACGTCCCCTCCGCCAGCCTATGGGCGCACAGCCCTGCCACCCCCAGGAAGCTTCCGAGTGGGCCACCCGGGGTCTGTGTCAGGGTGGCGGGCCGCTGAGGGGACCGGGGGCACCAGACAGCCACTCCCGGCACAGGCTGGGATTCTGCCTCTGGGCAGGAAGAATTGAGCCTGGCCAGCGGGGCTTGGGTGGCTTCTAGGACCCCTGCAGGCTCTTGCCTGCCTGGAAAGCAGAGTGACTTTCTGTAGGTGATGCCACTTACCTTGCTTGTGGGAAGCCTTCACGTCAGTAGTCATTCAAGGCCTGGCGGCCAGCAGTGCCTGGAATCGACCTCCCAGACCAGCACACTCACTACCCTGCCTGTGTGTCTGGCCTCGGGTGCCTGTCCTCTGGAACACGGGGTGCGGGATGCCTGGAACCCA